CCTTCTGTCTTCTTACTGTGAAGTGAGGTCCAGTATACCTACCACAGCAGCCACAAGTGAGGCCTCAGATCCACATCTTCAACTTTCTCCATCAGCAGGAACTGCCTGCATGAAAATGCTTCCTGTTTACCTGAAGGTATGAGTGTAATAAGCAAGTTGTATCATGCAACAACATGACCTGGAGGACAGGCAAACCTACACAGGCAGTATCTGCTCAAAGATCCTGGTTCAGCCAAGCACTGCATGCTCACATCCAGACATCTAACACCACATGCCACCAACAGCATGCCTGTGTCTCTTTGGGAAATCCTCAGTTCCATTACTAAAAGTCACAAGCAAGAAAGCAAAAAAGGTACTGAAGGAGGAACTGACCTACTTCAAAAGTACCCAAAAGCAAAATGAGCAACTGATTTTCAAAACAAACATGGCAGTCTGTAAAACAAATTATGTGGGAGAACAGAGGAAAGGCCCTTTTTTTTTTTTTTTTTGAAGGAATGGAAGGGAAAGTAATTGGCACACTTTCAAAGCAAAACATGTTTCAACTTCAAAGCATCAAGGGCAAAACCAATCCATTTCTATGAAATAATGCTGATACGAAGAAGTTACCTGATTTCATTTATTACTGCCATTAAAAAAGTCGATGCTACTATGACAGAACTCATAAGTTCTGCCTGAAGAGGGGAGGACTCTGGAGAGACCTTATTGTGGTCTTTCAGTATTTAAAAGGAACCTGTGAGAAAGATGGGGAGAGACTTTTTAGCAGGGCCTGTTGCAATGGAACAAAAGGTAATGGTTTTGGAGCAGAAGAGGGGAGATTCAGGCTGGATGTGGGAGGAGGTTTTTTGCAGTGAGAATGGTGAAACACTGGCACTGTTTGCCCAGAGAGGTAGTGGATGCACCATCCCTGGAGGCACCCAAGGCCAGACCGGATGTGGTTCTGGGCAACCTGATCTAGTTGAACATGGCCGTGCTCATTGCAGGGGGTTTGGACTGGATGGCATTTGGGGGTCTCTTCCAAACCAAACTATTCTCTGGTTTTATGAAATCTTCAGTTCAAACAGCACACTGAATTTATACTCTGCGCTAAGAACTCAAGGACAGAAACCACCTAAGTTGCAAGTACTCAGTGCCTTTCAGTTTCAGGTCCTCTGCAAGGATCACACAATTGAAAGACTTGCCACAAACAAAAAGGTAACTTTGGAAGATCCTGTTTTATCATTCTTACACAAAGAAAATCGCCTGTAAATTTTCTTGGGGTGTTTTTTTGTTTTGTTTTGGTTTTTGTTGTTGTTGTTATTTTATTTAACCTAAAAATCCTAAGGCATACTTCCAGCTGCTCTTGACCATTTAATATATCTAAAATATACCTACAATAATAACATTAGACAGTTTAAATTCAAATAGTTATGTAGTTTGGTGCAAGAGAGTGAATGATAAGTAAAATTCCATAAGTAAAATTCTAATAAATACCTTTTTCACCATATTGCTGAGCATCAAAAATCATTACTGAATTTCTTCTTCACTTGAATACCATTTTTAGACTAATCCTGAATTCAGAAACTCTGCACCGAAAGACGCACCAAGAGCTATATAAGGCTAACAAAAGGTTCTAGTCTTTAAGTAACATGCAAGTTTAGAACCTAAAATTATTAAAATCTTTTTCCAGGGGAAATGGAAAACAATCTTTTAGATGAAATACACTTACAATGAAATTCTACTGTCAACAATTGACCAGTGTTGCAACACTCAGAGAAGGAAGAGATACTCTTTGTAAAACAAAGACCAAAATTTAACATTTATAGCATTTTGAACTCCAGTTACGTGGCACACACACTCAAGCTCCCTTCTCCCCTTACCTCCCCTCTTGCATTGTCAGAAATGAGCTAAAAGAAAGGTGAACTAGCTAGGATTTCAGCTGGACAGAAAAATAGGTGTCCTGGGTCAGAATAAAAGCCTGTCTAGCCCAGAACAGTGTCTCTTAATAGTGGCTAAACACAGATGTCTCAAGAAAACTATAGAAATAGAGCAAACCTATGTCAGTACTGTCAAAGAATAGTCTCATATCATTCAACAGTTGAATTTACAGTTCAGTAGTTAGTATCTTCATGTTTAATCAGTCTTAATGGATTTCCTGAACATAAACTTGACTAGTTGCCCATTAAATACACAGAAACCTTTAGCGCATATATATCCACGAGGGAGGAGTTCCACCACATAACTACACAGTGTGATAAAACAGCCTTACCTGTGGTTCTTTTTTGACTTGCTAGCTTTGTTAGATGCCCTGTGGAGGTTTCATCAAAGCAAACCACAAACAAGCACCTTAGCTAGGTGTTCATGGATCTCTGTCTCCATGTTGGCATCTCCATAGATCTCTGCCTAACCTCACTACAGGATATACTAAGAAAAGGAAACAACCACATGGTTTCTCCTCCACCCCTATTTTATTAATCTAAACTGAATTTCATCCACCATTTAAATGCACTAACAGTCCAATAAGGTTTTTCTGCAATTCTTTATAGGGAACACTGTTTTTAAAACCCTTAATAATTTAGTAAGGCCAGAAAATATAATTATTCAACCCCCTTTATTTCTGACCATGTTGAGCAGCACAGACACCTGAACTGATCCTTGTAGAACTCCACTATTGAAAGTCAGCTGTTTAATCTTATCCAAGCTTTTAGGCATTTACTATTTTTCTTGCTAGCAGTACCTTCTTCCTCTTCTCCCATACCTCCTTAACTGTTGTAAAAGGAAGAATTACTGACCAGAATGGATCTGGGATTTTCCACACATGGTTTGCAGAAAAGATACTCCTTCCAAATGGGAGTTCCCATACTTGGCAATAGCTGTCCAAATGCAGGTCTTTGCATTTGACCTCTTCCAATCTCTGTATTTGTTAAAGATATTTTAGCACAGAGTCTCACACTGGTTCTTGTAGTGTATTATTTTGATTTATTGTATCTGAACAGATTACGTATTCACATTTTTCACCCTCAGCCAATATACTTTCACCTCCACTAAAGTAAGCAACAAATATTTTTTGTAGATGTATTCAAAATCATCTCCATAATTAAAAGGTTGGAGACAAGATTACCAAGAGAAAATAACAGTTTTATATTACACTTAGGAACCAAGAGGGACTGTTGGATGTACCTTACAGATTTGTAAGATACACCTAAACTGTCAGAGGAGGGCTGAGATAAGCATCAACACTCTGGATGCTGTCTCCTAAAGGATCTCAAAGCTAACCTTGGGACCTAAGGACTGAGATCTCACTGCTATACCCATTAGTGCAATTTTCCCTTGGAGCATGTATTCCTCTGAGAATTCTTCTCTCTCTGTTTCCTACCTTATAGTCTTTGATTAAGACAGTTATTACCTTCTGTTTTATTTTTGCTTTAAATCTTATTTCCTACTTCTGTCTAACAGCAAAGCAGATTTAGTAGCTGGCATCTCTACACTAGCTGGGTGTGGTTATCTTCCTTACTCAATCCTTTTTTTTAGGGTTTCAGCATCTACTGTCTCACCTTGCAAGGCAGAAAAATCCACTGCACCTCAGCTTTCATTAACCCTTGCTTCCTAAGACAAGAGAGCTCTTTTAAAACCCCTTCCCAAGATACTCAATAAACCCATGATGTATCACTGATACAGACTATCTTTACATAAAGTCCACAGTCCCTATCATGCATGCTGAAAGGATTTTAGACAGACCGCACGTAACAGTACTAACTCAGGTGATAGAGTTGGTATCAACTGCTGTTAATTAGCAGTATGCGCTTTTTTCTCTTTTTTTTTTTGTCTTTTTTTTTGTCAATTCTGGACACAAAACTGACACAACAATATTTCCTGCTTTGCATTTTTATGTTTCTGCATAGGTGTGCAGTGAAGGCAAGTATAAATGTGCCAAGTGTACGTAACTTATTCCTATTTAATTTCGGCTAGCATGAGCATTAACAGTGGCAAAGAGGTACCCATAGATGCTTGAGGCCTAGCCAGCAAGCCAAAAATGATACATTGTATTTCTACCAATCTTCCTGCGCCTATCAATTACAGCACAACAAGCACAGGTATGGCTGGTAAGCAGCAACTTTCATTGCAAGCAAAAATACAGTACCAAGGCAACCATGTTATCACCTGAAAATTTCCCAGTCACCCAGGATTTCACTGTCATTAGACATCTGGATCCCCCTTGTCACTGGCAAAACTAACAACTGCTATTTGTTACCTGTTGACTTCCAGATTTTAGTCATCTACAATAAACCCTTTAACCCTTTAAAAAGCTGGTTTCCACTCTTTTTTTTTTTTTTTTTTTACAGTTTATTTTCTACCCACAGATTCAACATGAACCAACAACTGTTAACTGGAAAGTAAAAATTGCACATTAGGTATAGGCAACATCATCTACACTGGGCTTTGGTTTTAAAAAAGCTGAACTCTTGGGACCTTTAAGTTGCCAGGCAGAAGCATGTAGGGCAGAATTCATGAATGAACATGCACCACTCGCTTGTCTGTGCTGCACTTCACTGAGAAGACTCCGACAACAGAGGCCTGTTCACAGACTCCTGTCTCAGCTGGGAGTTTTGGCAGTGCAACGTCTAAGGGTGCTGACAATGGTGGTAACAGTAAGAGGTCTCAAATGAAGTGAGACTACGAATAAGCTGGCATTTTAGTGCTCTCAAAGTGATGCCTACCATTCAGCTGATACAATATTAGGTATGCAAATATACAGGTAACCTGACCAAGGTTCATGCGGACCAGCATCTGCCGGAAGGGACTGACACCTTCTCCTGAACATCACTCGTTTCTCTTGAGGATTTGCACAGCGTGGCTCCCTAGAGGTGTAATTTTCCTTCGAAATCCTACACGTCATGAAAGCCACAAGCTCTCCCGCCGCCGTTCACACACAACAAAGTTTTGCCGCTCTCGCAGCAGCGAGCCCTGCCGCCGGGGAGTGGAGCCCCAGCGCCAGCCCCGTCCCCGTCCCTGTCGCGCCTCACCGTCCCAGCTCGGATTCCAGCTCGAAGTAGTGGGCCAGGGTGTCCTTGTTGGAGCCATCGATCCAGTAGTCGGGAGCGGCGGACCCGGGGCGGCCGGTGGCTGAGGAGCCGGAGGAGGAAGAGGAGGAGGAAGAGGATGATGAGGATGAGGAGGAGGAAGAGGGCATGGTGACTTTCAGCATGCCGGGACACCTGTCTGGGGCTGCCCCCTCCTCCGCTGCAGAAAACAGAGCAAGGCGGCTGGCGACGATGGGCCTCTCCTCTCCTCGCCTTTTCTCGTCTCTTCCCTCCCTCCCTCCTTCCTTCCTTCCTTTCTTGCTTCCTTCCTTGCTTCCTTCCTTCCTTCCTTCCTCCCTCTCTCTTTCTCTGCTCTTTCTCTATTCCTTCCTTCCCTCTTCTCTCTCCTCCTCCGCGCCAGGCCGGACCTGGCTGCAGCAGCAGCACCCCCAGCCCTGAGGGGCGGTGGGGACACCTCCGGGGGGCGGGCCCGGGGCGGGGCCGCAAGGAGCCGCCCCGCTCTGGGGGTCGCACTGGTAGCGATGCTTTCCAGCCCCGCTGCGGGCCCTGCGGGCGCTCCTCGGCTTCAGAGAGCGAGCCTGAGGGCGGACTGAAAGCAGCATCCTGCCTGGAGCGGCCGCACAGACGGCAGGACGGAGCTCTGCGAGGAGAGGAATGGCATCCCGGTGTGCTGCTTTTTGGCCGGGGCCGGGAAGGATGCACTGCGCCGGGCGAGGCGGGTGCACCCCGTTATGCTGCACCATTTTGGCAGTTCTAAATCCGGGATCGGCTGTCATGGTGAGACGCGGGAGTTTCAGGATTTCTCTGTCGGCGTTCGCTGTGAAATGAAATCTGGGGAGGAAGGTGTGGAAGGCAGTGACTGAACAAAACAATTGGCGCTGGCAAAGAGACTGGCAAGTGCACAAATGTGACTGCAAACAAAAAAAATACAGCTTCCCTTCCCACCACAGAACTTAGAGAAGCCATAAAGAAACAAAATCGCTGTGCTGCCGTGCCACTCTTAAACAGGTTATGAAATCTGCAGGTTATGAAATGCATGCAGGTGTGATAAAGTGTTTTGGTACCCTGGCTGTAAAAATCTTAGCCAGAAGTGCCTATATAAGGGCAGTTTCTGTTGGCGTAGTGCTGGAATAAAAAAGCAGCAGTTGCGTGTGCCTCGCATGCATAGTATGCCAGATCAATCCTACTCACATCCTCTCCATGCTATTACACCCACTCGTACTGTCATGTAAGCACAGGCATGAGGTAAAATGGACCGTGCGCAAGCCTGTGCAGCAGAAATGACAGAAGTATTGTCCTCCAATTTTCAACCATGATCCACTAGCCTGTTTTTAAACATTGCATTCCTTGCTCAAAAAAAGCCTGGTATCCTGTTCAGTGTTGTGTCAATTCAGGTGTATTAACGTTTTCCAAGACGTTTTGTTTCCCCCCATAAACAAGTCTGTCTTTTACTATTCCCCAGCTTCCTTACTTAGGAGGGGGCAAGTAATATTAACTCTGAATCTCTTAATTTCTCAAAAACTTTAAAAGATAAATGCTTCTCTCTTAAGCAGATAATAGAAGAAATATCTGCTTAATCAGGTCTCTTTTCATGGTAAGAAAGGATAAAAAAGGTAAGTGAGATGAAAGACAGTTAATGCCCCTTCCTCTCGAGTTTACTTTTTGCTATTATAAAATTAAAATGTAGATCCCCATCTTAATTTGATATTTGTATTATTTTCAAATCCCTATTTGAAAGTCAGGAAAAAGTATCCCAAAGTCCTATTTTGCAAACCAAGTTCTATGCAAGCCAGTTTGATAGAAACTCCAAACTTCCTTCAAGATGAACCTTGTGCCCAGATCACCTACCATGAGAGGGCTGAGATCAGTGCCAGAGCAGCAGCCAAGCAGCTCTCTCACTGTTGTGCTTCTTCCCAGCTCCCCGGCTCACTCTGTCTCTGCTGGTCAACGTAGAACTTTTCTTCATAAAGTTAGTTCCTAGGTGGCAATTTTTCCTCTTTCCTCATGACATTTTCTGACAGCATCTCCTGGGGTAGGAAATGGTCACTGATGATGAAAACATCAGTGTGTGTATGATGTTTGTATGTGTATGTATGCATGTGTATGATCATAACACACATGCACAAATGGCCAATCAGAGCACTTTGAAGACTGGTATTCACTATCATATTTTTGTTTAGTCAAATACCTAACATGTTCTGTAGCTCAAAGGCCACATGTTTCTGTTGTGGTGTAGTAAGATTATGTTTATCCAGATACCTGTAATCAGATTCACATCTCAGATAATCTGGAAATGTTTACCATGAGCCTTTATGTACTCCTTAGTGACTGCCATAGCACCAGGGGATTTTTTATTTTTTGTATTGGGCTACCTATATGAAAGCATCTGACTTTCCTTAAAACTGTTCCAGAGTGAGCTAGATTGTACAACCTAGTATTTGAAAACTGACTGGACATAATTCTGCAGGAGCTCCACTTGTTTAAAAAATTAGAATAACAGTATCTGAATATGTCCATATGAAATTAAAGAAAGTCTTCAGATTGCACACTGCATGTAACCAGCACTCCAATGCCTCTCAGTCTCCAGGAAACCAAAGGCAGCACTTCAAAACCACTGTGTTCCACTCAGGTCTATGTTAAGAACATTCAGATTTGCACTGTCATTATTGGACATGAAACTAAACCACAGATAAAACTCCATGTATGTGTTTGTGACATACTATATGTGAAATTTTATTATGTAGCTACAAATATAATTTTCCTGCCACCAAACTCAGGTTATGAATTCAGAGGGAAAAGGCAGCTCAAGGAGGCATGCTTCTTTTACTGAGGAAGCAGTTTTTACGAACAAAAAAAACATGCAACAGATGTGCAATCTCTTGCCCCTCGCCTGCCACCCATAAATTTAAACCAGATTCTTTCATCAGCTGGGTATGTTAAAAGATTCAGTAAATCGGGTAAGAATGAACACAGTGTAAGGAGAGGGCATCAGAAGGGGTGGTAGTATGAGGAGATGTGTTTATGCAAGAAAACAAAGAAGAGGAACAGGGAGATCCTTTGTAGAGTGTCAGTAGGGAAGAAGGACAGTAGCAACACACCCTTTTTCTTCAACCCTACTCATAAGTTTTGAAGTAAGGAACGTTTTTCCCAGTGTCTGGAAAAAACATAAAGAACAATGACTGCTTGAAGATGAGCTGTTAGAAAACAACGTGATGCAGCCATCCATGAAACACATTCCATGGTCCTCCGGTAACAACAGGACAATTTTATAGTTATTGCAGGAGGACACATAGAACAGTTATCTTTGCAGCATAGGCACAGCACTTATCATTCTGTCTCTCTTTAAGTCATTCAATCCTTTGATTTCTAGAATATAGAAGGATACTTGAAGCATCCCCTTTCATTTTGTAGGGTCAAACAGCACCCTTTGGTTCATACAGTTGATCCACAAGCCTACGTGAGTCATTAAATCCAAATAAACCAAACCCGTGAGGGCAGGCTTCACGCACCAAAAGTCACTTAGTAGGACCTATAGAAGGTACACATAGCCCTTCTTGAGTGAAGCACACTTACCTCTCTTATCCCTGCTCACACAAAATCCACTGGAGGTCATCTGCCATTATTACCATTATTAGCTGCTCAAGAAATTTCTCTGGGATAAAATGCTTCCTTGTTTCTAATGTAGAACATTTTCTTTCCCCCTTCCCCCTCCCCTGCTCTTATGCAGTTTAAACTCACACCATCACAGCGTGGTGGAAAAAGAACCACCCTCTCAGCTCCCTCCCCGCCAAAAAACCCAAAACAACCCATGAAGTGAACTTTAAAATGTACATGCAAGAATATAAACTTTCTGCCAGTGTTAAAATGATGACAGCCATAGAGAAAGATGAAAAAATAGAAAATACTATTAAAACAGAGTCACAGCCAAGCACTCTGAAAATAAAAAAGTTGACAGTGTTTAATGTTGTTTCCCCTTTCAAGAACGAAAAGACAATTTTACCTTTTTTTTTTTTTTGGTGTTTGGAAAACAGACATCTGCATACTGGAAATTACATAAAAACTGTGAGAGCAAGGTAAAGTTAGCAGTTTCTGAGAAACAGGTATTTGTATGAACCAAACTCTCTTACACAGCAATAGGCTGGAGGCCAACCTCAATTCAGCAGCAAGTCATCTCGGAGGTAGGTTAGAAGGAGATTTAGGAATGAGAGCATTAGCAGCTTGGGTGCATATGCAATGAATTGAAGAACTAGGAGACCATACTTTAAAAAAAACTTCTTTTTTTTTTTTTTCCCCTGGTTCCTGTAATTTATATTTTATCCAGCATCAAAGCAAACATTAAGGAATCATATGAAGGGAAACAGCTGCTACTAACCTGATTCTAATACCTGGTTGTGCAGCTCCTTTTGCTGATTTGTGAACAAAAGCCAGCTAAATATTCATCAGATCCCTCTGTGCTATGTTGTCCAGCAGAGAGAAGCAGTCTAAGATACTTGTTTTTTGTTTTTTTCTGTATAACTATATCCAAATTCAGCAATGCAATATTTCTTACTACTGTGTTTTGGTTTAAGCCCAGCTGGCAACCCAGAACCACGCAGCCACTCGTTCACTCCTCTACTTCCTCCCCCTGCTCCCGGAGGGATAGGGAGGAGAACTGAAAGAACGTAAGTCCCACGGGTTGAGATAAGAACAGTCCAGTAACTGAGGTGTAACACAAACCACTGCTCCTATCACCAGTGATAATAATAATGGTAAGGGAAATAACAACGAAAGAGAATACAACTCACCACCCGCCGACCGACACCCAGCTCTACCTGAGCAGTGATCTAGCCCTTCTGGGTAACTGCCCCAAGTTTATATACTGGGCATGATGTGCTGTGGTATGGAATACCTCTTTGGCTAGTTTTGGGTCAGGTGTCCTGTCTTTGCTTCCTCCCTGCTTCCCCTCCTCCCTGGCAGAGCATGAGGCTCACAAAGTCCTTGGTCAGAGTAAACTTTACTGAGCAACATTTAAAAACACTGGTGTTATCAGAGCTGTTCCTAGGCTGAAAGTCAAAAACGTAGGAGGAGAAAAATGACTGCTACTGCTGAACCCAGGACATACTGTAAGATGTAAAGCCAGCTCTTCACTACCAACACTACCAGCAACTACCAGCAACCAGCAAAGCAGCAAAGTGAATTCAGTAGCTATTCCACTAATGGAGAAGTTAATAGCCATTGCTACAGTCACAGAGCTGAAACTCAAGGTTCATCCCTACTGCTCTTCCATAAGGTAG